GAAAAAGAAAAAATAGATGGCCTTAAAGCTCTTTGATTTAATAGAACAATTTATGATGAACACTTTTTTGTTAAAAAACACAATTTGAGAAAACTGGAACAATCGATAAGACTTAATTCGCGCGGAAATCTGATCATTAATTTCCATTTTCAAAAGTTGAAGTCGATCACAATTTTGCTGTTCAATAGTTGAGTTTGCCTTCCTTTTAACAATGGAAATGCACTGAACTTAAAAAGGAGTCACGAAAAACCGCGAAAATCAAAAGTGAGCGTGAACAAACTTTAAGATTTTTTCCTAAAAAAAAACAAAAAATCACAAAGACCTATTTAAGAATACTCACTACGTTCATTAATCTTAATAATTGGGGTCAAAACTCTCTGTGCTACTTACAAAGTGACTTAAAATCTTATATCAGCTTGTTTCTTGCGATTGGTTGAAAAAATCACGTTTACACTTTTATCAGTTTATTTTTTACTGGTTGAAAAAATTACTCTTACGATTATTCGATTTACTTGAACAAGTTTTTGATGAATTACTTTATACCACGCGCAGTGATGTCCAGTTAGACAAAAAAATAAAAGTTTAAATGAAAAACTGTTCAAGAATACTATTAAAAATGTTGGCATCAACTAAAATTTTTCTGATACGATTTAAATTTTTCATGTCTGTTTTTAGTCGTTTTCTGCCATTTTTGGCAAGTTTGAAAAAGTAAATCAAACGCATGTTCTTGGGTATATCTATTTGCAAAAAAAATCTTATCAATTTTGTCGTGGAAATTTAGATCGTTTACTTGTTCAAGTGAAATTATTTGAAATAACTAAACTGTGTACTTTGGCGTCGGATCGAATACCGCCAAAGCATTTTATTTTTTTTTTTCAATTTAAATTTTTCTATTCAAAATAAACTTTTTCATTCAATTGAGTGGGCTCATAAATTTACACTTGATTGAATTGAAACTAGCAACCCCTGAGAGTACCCGGACAGAGCCTCACTTTAGAGATGGAAGCTTTTGTAAATGAACTTTTTATATGTAAAGTCTTTGAACAGTTTGAAAAAAGACATAACAAATGTCAGATTTCGAACACTAAAAGCATTTGATCAGTCGTGTATTTGGACGCAAGATTTGCAATTTGGAACTCCTGAGAGTACCCAAATACAAGGTTGAGAATATGAATTCTTCTGACTTTTTTAAGAAGGTCTGCAAGTATTTGAGCAGCCATATTCAGAGGCAAGATTCGCAACCCCTGAGAGTACCTCACAGTATCAAACAACCAAAGTTTTTTTTTTAATTTTTGAAAATCATAAAAACGTCATCTCGAATACTACACGGATTTGAGAAATGAGATTTGGAGACAAGATTCGCAAACCATGAGAGTAACATGACAGCACCCAACTAGAGGGTGAGAATTCAAAAACAGAAGTTTATTTAAATCAAATTTTCTTGAAGTTTTTGAAAAATCTCGAAAATTACCATACCTTGAAAACTAAAAAGATTTGGTTATTCAGATATGGAGGCCAGAATCGCAAACTTTGGGAAAAATCTGACCGACTCCACTATTGGGTTGCTAAATTAAAACTTGATGAAAAAAACACTGAATTTAAACTGGAAAATCGGAAAAAAAATCTTAACCATTGCAATATACGATATAGCTTAGACGTGCAAAAATTCGTTTGTTAAACATGCAAAAATAATACGTTGAAAAAGCTTAAACATGGCGAAATAGTGAAGCCCGCATTTAAATATATAGCTAGCGTGTAACGAACCTTCGGTGCTTCGAATTTTTGAGAACATGAAAAACTGCATATATTGGAAACCTGATCTGCAGGGTTTTAGCGTACTCTGACAGCACCCAATTAGATGGCTGGTAAATTCATATTTGATAATTTTTTAAATCCTTTTTCCGTCATCTCAAAAACGTCAAATCTCGAAAATTAAAAGAATTTGAGCAGTCAAATTTGGAGGCAAGATTCGCAACTCCTGAGAGTACCTTAAAAAACCCAACTACAGGGCAAAAATGTCAAATTCTGAAAAAAAAAATAATTTTTTTTTGAAAAAATCACAAAAAATGCCATATCTACAAAACTACAAAAAATTGAGCAGTCATAATTGGAGGCAAGATTGGAGCCAGACAACGAGAAAGAGAAAAAAAGATTGGAGAAAACAGTTTGACAGTAGTACCATTTTAAACTGAATCGTAGAAACCAAATTGAAAGTTAAAAAATTACTAGACGGGTAGACAGACAAACAGACTTAATTTGGCCTCGAAAAAAATTACTGAAAAGCTAATGACCTTGCTGAAAACTAAATGAAGAATTTTCTTAAGCATTGCAATATATGATATAGCTTAAACATGAAAAAATTCTTTCGTTAAACATGCAAAATTATTATGCTTAAACATGGGAGATAGCTGTCACTAGCATTTAAATATAGTATAGATATAGATTGAAATTTAAATTAATTTAAATTGTTTTTTTTTAAATTGATTACTACACCCACTTACTGCTTACGCACTGAATCATATAGTGATCAGCAAAACTTAAGTACGAACGAACTACAATTTTGTTTTTCTGTCCAGATTACCGCACGAAGCAGGGACAAACTACTGCGTTGGGGTGTTTTTTCGAATCATTTTGATACCTATAAAAAAGTATGGGGTCGATTGTGGTGTCATATAAAACGTTTTCAGCCGTCTCAGTGTCGATAAAAAACTGTCTATGTGGATAATCCAAATGCTATTTTGATGACAGTGAGTCTGAACCCAATTTTGCTCCAAAACAAATATTTACGTTATTTTTGTCAAAATATCATTTCATAATTGCAGTGTTTAGCTAACTCAATCGCCCTTTACAAAACAGTTTTTCATTGAAAAATGTTTTAACTTCTCTTTACTAATTGTTTCTCAACCATGGCAGCAATCAATTATCATTCTTGAAGGATTAAAAAAACATAAAAACTGATCAAAACAACAACATAGCCAACAGACAGTTGAGTCTATGAACGTAGAAAAGAGAATTAGTTTATAAAAAATCGTAACTTTCAAATTTAAAAAAAAAAGAGATGCCCTTCAAACTTTTTAAATTTCTAGAACAGTTTGCGATTGGCCCTTTTTATTACTTAAACTCAATTTGATAAAACTGAACCAATAGGTAGTTTTTTTATTCCGCTGGAAAATCTGCAAAAAAATTCCACTTTCGGAACAAGAAGTCGATCCAGTTTTTCATGACCTTTGCAGTTTTACGGTTCGATAAAGGATTTTGCATTCATTTTAAGACAGCAAATCATAAGTGAAAAATAAAAATTGATTCTGAATAAAATTTCTTTGAAAAATCATCAGTACATTTATATGAGTCTGAACTACCTTCATCGACTCTTAAGAAATGTTACGCGTTCAAAAAATTAAAAGAATAGTTTAATTGTTGTTAAATAATAACAGCAAACAGTTAATGAAGTCACGAAAAGTCAATAAAAAACGAATAACTATTATTGAAACAAATTAAAAGAAAAAATATGGCAATCTTGAATGTTTGACAAATTTAAGACAAAAATTAATCAATTTGATCATAACTGGAACAAAAGGAAAACTTTCATTTCAATGAGATTTTAAATTTAAATTTCACTTCTGAAACGAGAAGTCAGAACATGTTTAGCAAAACGAAATGACAGCACAAAAAAGTTGCGTTCTTATGAAGTGTGAGCTTTTCAGAAAAAAAAGCGAATTATCGGCATCTCAACCGAAGCCGAATAATTTCATTTAGTATGTAGACTTGCTCAAAAATTTGTCATCAAATTAATATAGCCAGCAAAAAAGTGGAAAAACGTGAACACACAAAAAAAATTTTATTGGAAAACTTTAGACTTCCTAATTTAAGATAACAATTACCATAATACTCCATGATTTTCAGGAATCTGAGAAAACGCCATTCGAAAAAACTGGATAAGGAGGCAATTTTTTTATAGCACTGGGAAATCCACTTTTGAAACAAGAAGTAATTCACTTTTTTTTCGCACCATTCTAACGTCTGTTATGGGAGAGCGTAATGCACCTTCCATTTTGCAAATGAACTTGGAAAGAAATCAAAAACAATCCAGCTTAAGATGCAAGTTGAGCTCTAACAACTTCATGGAACTTTCTCCCTAGAAAAAAATGTAACAAAATCACAAGATCTAACTAACTGTCTTCACTACAAGCATTCGTCCTGTAAATTTTGACTTCAATTATTGTCACGATGATATCAATGCCGAATAATACAACAGATAACTAATTTAAAAAACGTATTAGACCCACAGCCACTCAGCTGAAAATCAACCGAAAAATTTCGGCAAAAATAAAACTCACATTGTAAGAATTGCAGGTAACGTGCCAACTCTAACGGCAAATTTTAAGCTCGCATTGTAAGAATTGCATGCAACAAACCAATTAGAAGCGCTGAGGCAAGATGATGCATTAGTCAATAAACCATTTCTTATTCTCACCATTCTGTGAATAAAGTTCTTTGCGCGAAAAACTTAAGTACCCAGTTTCAATACCACTGTTTAAACAGAAGCGAAGCACGACAAAAACAGCTCTATAAAGTGCAAATAGAAAAATTATTAGTAGGCCTCAAATTAGTTTTTTTTTAAATCATCTATGTCTGAGATTCGAACTTGCGACCTAGACATTATCAGTCTCACACACTAACGACTCAACCACTGTAGCTTAATGTACGAAACACTAACCACAAATAAAGAAGAGAACAGATACTATGCAATTTCCAATGCTAACAGTAAAATTTCCAAATAAATGAACACTTTTGTTTGCGAGTTAGGTTAGACAAAAAAAGGTTCATAATAATCCACTACACAGTTCGCTAACGTAATCACAACAGTAATTATACACTTTTAAACGATTAACACGAGTAAAGTTTTGTACAATAAAGAACTAACTGTAAGTAAATATATATGGCTCCAAGGTTTTGAAACGATTTTAAATTACTTGCAAATTAATTTCTCTTTTAATTACAATTATTCTCATAAGAGACAACTCTTCATTTCAGAATATTATGCTCTGACACACCACTCTTTCGGACACCACGTCACCGGAACTGTTTACGGCAGTACCTGGAACAAACAGAGAGAAGAAAATGTACCGTTCCTAATAATCATTCACCATATATACGTACCAAATTTCTAACGAACCTTGACAATTTTTATTGAAAAGATAAGCGTCGCGAATATAGGCACAATCATAGCCTGTTGTATCTGTCGGTTGCCCTGTGGCCCATGGCAATTCTTCAACGTTTTTCACTTCATTTCCGTCTGAATCGAACCATGTCTTTCCGTCCTCCTGTTTGTTCAACCCAACCCAGCACGTGCAACAGTTAGTTTGAGTGTCGAAGGGACAAGCTGCGATTAGATCCTCGATGGACTCGTGATTACCAGCAACTGGAAAAGCCAGTTGAGATTGAACTGCCTTACACATTTGGTCGCCTACAGCCAACAATGAACATTTGCAATTTTTCGAGCAGTTGCCCAATTTTCTTAAATCATCTAGATAAGAAGGGCACATATAGTGATTTCTCAATTAAGCGACCTTTGCATTTTTAACGTTAATAAGAAAAGGAAAAAATTTTGAACTACCTCGTCAAAAACAAAACATAAAAACAATCAATTAGCAAGGATAGCCGATTACTGTACAGAATGTTCCGACCATAGCCTTACAAAAACAAAAGGTTTTTTCAAATAAGTATCGTTTTTTGTTTGTGGTATGATGAAATGATCTGAATGAAAAACTAGAACTTGGACATATTCCAAAAATAGGCAACTTTTATAACAGTTTTTGTAGAAAAAAAAAAGAGAAGAAAATGTACCGTTCCTAAAAATCATTCACCATATATACGTACCAAATTTCTAACGAACCTTGACATTTTTAAAAGAAAAAGTACCGTTCCTTTAAATGTACCGAAAAACTTTAAAACAATCCAGGAAAAAAATTAAAAAAAAACTATCAAAAATTGTTTCTAAATTATATGCAGAAACTTTTTGGAATTTTACTGGCGCTTAAAAACTCCAAAAACTGACTTCACTCGAGTAAAATAAGTTTCACGGCTTAAATTGAGCATACATAAGCTCAAATAAGCCTATTCGCTCTCTTCGTTTGCTCGAATTAAGACTAAATATCAAAAAAAAATTAAAAATGTTTTTAACACTACTCGAATTTTTATTGAAATTTTTTACTCGAATTTTTATTGAATTTTTTTTTACTGTCGTTCGAATCACGACTGAAAATACTTTATTAAGACAAATCACTCGAACCATTCCGATAATTGTTTGTGGTACCTGATTTTGCGTGGAAAACAAAACATAGCCAACTGACACTTAGATAAAAGTGATGAACGTGTCATCCGGTACATGTTTGATATATTATTATAAATTCATAACCTGTTGGTCAGCTGACCTTGTACGGCTGTACGCCGAAGGGGTGACATGAGCAATAGCTCAGACGGTAATTTATGATTCTTAAGAACAGCTGTTTTATCGAACTCACATCAAAAATTCCGTTTATCAATCCGTTCGGATTGGATATACTCGCGCTCATACATTGAGCTATGACAAGGCGCAACCAGCAGGATTTTTAAACATCAGCCCTTTCTGGGAGAAACCTTGGGCCGAACCACCTCTCGAGTGGTCAAAATGGGCAGCAATAATCGAAATAGCAGTGTTGCGAAGGACGGAATCGAAATAAGATATTTACAAAGAAACAAACCAGACCTAGTTGAGCCTACAGAACCCATTTAAGAAATTGAAACAAAGGGGAAAACGGAAGCCCAAAAGAAAAACCTGGAAGTTATAAATCAAGAGAAGAGTCGGCTGGGAAAACCATTTGGTTAAGGCCAGAAAAAAAGGAGTATTATGCAATTCTTTCCGGTGGGATGAGGCCGACGCAAAAGTACGAAGTTACATGTTTCTATGCCTCGGCGCCGAGGGAAACGACAAGTTCAACAGAAGCGACCAGAATTGTGGCGTTTGAAAGATATAACGTCATTTGTTGGAAGCAAAAGAAAACGGAAAGTCTAGAACAATTTCACGCGGATCTAGCACCCTCAAGGTCACGTGACTTACTTTTGTTTTTGGTATTTTCTGAAACCAAAACAATAAGGTCATGCGCCAATATCATGGCCTCAAGCAAAGACGTCGGACTGTACGCATTCACATTAGCCTTGCGCCCTTCGGGCGCAAATGCCAATGCTCAATTAATTTTGCCAGGTGAAAATTTTTCAAAGGAAAATTCTGATAAATTTTAACTTAAACTACCACCAAAAAAACCAAAGATATCAAAGTGTGAAACAATCAAATTTTTGCTAATACCGAGCATGCAGTGAGACTGATTTCGGCAAAAATAAAATGGAAAATGAAGGAAATGGAAAGAAAAAAATTGTTCAAAATAAGAACGCAACTTCAAAAACTTATTTGATCTCCGCTATTGTCATAATTCCGATCAGGCTGATTTCAGATTTTAAGCGTAGAATTTACGGTTACGGCTGCTCCCTCTACAGGTCCCAGAGGGACCGAGTGAGCATCCTACCTCGATCCATGATAACGGATAGTTGTTTTTAATTTTTCACAAAATTTTTTTCACTAATGCTTGTTTTCAATTCCTCATGAGAAGCTGTATAAATTTTTAAAAAATTGATTTTATTAATCAATGCTTCCAAGAACAACTGATGTTAGGGGGTTACAAATGCGGTTGGTGAAATCTAGTGAGGGATAATGATGAGAAAAATTGTAAGTTTCCAAATGAATTTAAAAACAGTTTTTTCTTTTTTCTTTTGTAAATCGGGAGAAATGAATCACTTTTTTTTGTTTTCCTCGCACCACTCACTGTTCTTAAGTAATGAAGATTCCTGCTCTAGCCGTTTATAACACTTTGGCAGAAGCAACATCAATATGATGTAAAATGTTTTAAAAAAGAGAAAAAATTAAAAATTATGTTTTTTTTTAAAAAGTCAAAAATTTGTAATTTTCAAAATTGAAAAAAAGTGAAAATTAATTGCATATTACGATTCAGCGTACCCAACTTAGTGGATCTAGCATTTTAAATTACCAAAAAATGTTAAAAATTGTAGATTTTATGAAGTTTTCATTCTGGCTATGTTTCCTTGTCGCCTCCACTTAAGGCACCTTTGAGCCAACTTGAGAAACTGGAACCTAAACAAGCTATGCAGATAGTCTGAATGAGCCATTTTTAGCTTGATAACACGCCTGGAAGAAAAAAAAGCCAGAAAAGAAAGAAAATTTTGAATTTTAACCTTTTTTCTTCTTTAAATGGCGATACTTAGAATAATTTTTCAGCTGAAAAGTTCAAAAAAAATCAAAAAATTTGAATTTTGAAAAATTTTAAAAAAAATCTCATCAGTCTGTTTATTGGAGTCTCCGAGGTTTTTGGAGACCTTATCTGGCGACTAACAACAAGTGGATCACTTATTTTAAAATTTTGAGAAAGGTCAAAAAAACATGTTTTTTCGACTTTTTTCACAGGATTCCGAAAGCAATATCCTGGCTAAAAACTAGAATGAGGGCCTAAAATTAGTACAAACAGTACTCCCACATAAGGTACATTAGGGTGGAAACAAAAAATTTACTCTGACTCAATAATCGTTTTTTAACTTTATTTCTGAACAAAAAATTGTAAAAAAATCAAAAACCTAAAAATTTTTAGAAAAAAATGATTGTTTTGAAAAAGTGCCAATTTTCAGCTGAAACTTTTCATTTTAGCTAAGAAAACCAGAGCAATGCCCTTTAAGCTCAATTAAATTAATATAGCAAATTGTTTTCAAGTTTTTTCGTTAAAAGCTTTCATTTTGAAAGAGTAGTCAAAAATGAGTAAAAAAAAGTCAAAAAAATCAATTTTCTCAGATTCAAAAACCTCCACCACCATGATAATTAGTTCGTTAGATAGAACTGCTGAGATCAATTTAGACGCATTTTCATAAGTATATCAAAATTTTTACTTATTTTTGAGAATTAAGCAGAATAAAAACTTTTCCCAAATTGGGCAAAAAGCCCAAATTAGCCCAAACACCTGTTAAAAATTGTTGGGTCAAAAAGTCACAAAAGGAAACCCCTATTCATTTGACATTTTAGGGCCGCATGCAAAAAATTAGACCATTCTAACCTGACAATTTCGAGAATCGACTTTTTTGCAAAATTTCTCTATAGTCCATTTGAGGGATATTACTTGTACCGGTGGGGGCCCCTACCCCACCTCAAAAAATTTTGTAATGCTGGAACGCGGCCACCTAGAGGTTTTTGTGGCCCCGCTATATCAGTGACTCTTGACGTGTGGGTTCCGCGGGGGGCGGAGCAGGGGAACGCTTAACGCACTCGCAAAAGGAGCACCCTTCGGGTGCTCTTTTTTGCTCGAAAGTTTTCTGAAACGGTATCTGATGAGCTTTGTAAGGTGTCACAAAAGCAACAACACAAAACGTTCTGTATGTGATTAGAAAATGTCAAAAAAGATTTCTTATACTTTCAATGACTGAATCTACCCCTGATCAGTCTCTAGAGAACTCTAAACCAAAGTAACTTATGTTTTTCAGTGATTCATGAAGAGGACCGTTCCAACGAAAACAAGTTTTCGGAAACAGTCCTCATATTTTTTTTCGAGCTCATTTTCAAGTACGTGGACTTTTAGTTGTGACTAATATCTGAATTGAACTTGGAATTTGTCCCAAAAAGGTTAAGTTTGTCTCAAATTGATTAGAAGCAAAAGAAAAAAAAACATTTTTTTTATTTGGAAAAAAAAAGTTGAGTCAGAAACGTGAAAAAACCCTTTTTTCAAAAGTCATAAAAAGTAGCTCCAATTGGCTTAAATCACTAGGCTACAATATATGAACCTGTTCAGAATGGTTTTCATGACCAAAGCCGTACAACTTCCATATTTAGAGAAAAGGCGAAAAAAAAACAACTTTTTGGTTAACTCAAAAAGGTAGATAAATCGGGTAAAGTCGTCTTCAAACCTATAGGATCGAAAAGTGATCTATATAGGGTATATATGTAGTGTCCTTGTTAGGTCGCATGCAAAAAAATAGAACAGTTTTGTTGGCCACTTCCGAAATTAAGACTTTTTTTTTGAAATTTGGCCATTTTTATTTGTAGTAAAATAGTAGTAAAATAGCCGAGAAAAAAAATTGTAAAAACCAAAATTTTTATCCAATTTTGACGTTTAAATACTCTATACATACTAAAATGTCTATGGCAAGCTCAAATAAGCCATCAAAATTCATTTTTTCTCACTTTTTAAAATTTTTGTTTTTTTGATATACAATGTTGAGTCAGAAACGTGAAAAATCAATTTTTTTCAAAAAGTCAAAACAAAGTGTTCCAATCAATTTGTTTCACTAAAACACACTTTATGATCCTGTTCAGAATGGGTTTTTGGGTTAAAGCCGAAAATTCACCCATATTGAGAAAAGTGGAAAAATCACATT